TAGGCTCGGCGGTGGATCCTGCGTCCCTTACAACAATTCGTCAGGTCGCTCTGACTGTCACGGCACGAGTGTCGGTCCTTCGTAGTGCCGGGAGCACGTTGGTAGCGGGGCCATCTGCCGGTTTCCGCTATCTCTTCCTGTCACGTGAGTCCCTCTTTCGCGACCCCCTGCGCCGCAGGAGGGTAGCGTCAGTCGCGGGCCCCGTGATAACGGGCGCGAAGTTTTAAAGTTGGCTTGCTGGGAGGGTTTCTGGCCCTCAATACGTGGAGCGAGTCAATACGTGTCAGCTCTCCTGCGCCCTTACTCTATCGGGGCCTCCTGGCAGGGCCGTCGGCTCGCTCCGAAAACTCTGCAAAAGATAACAGTAGTAAGAGGGCTCCGTGAAGGAAGAAAAAGAAAGAGTAATTTACGTGACCTGTGCTCCCGTCTTGTTCCGAGTATGCCTCGTTATTCTCTCGTCCTTGGAGTCCGGGTTGCAGGGAGCCGGTGAGGCGCCGCTTTACTACAGTCTTTTCAGTCGAACAGTCGCCATCCCTCGCTTATGTCGGTCGTCGCAAGGCCTACTGCTTAATTCTAGTACAAAGTTTGAAGTCGCGAAACGCGGCAAAATCGTAGATGCTCTCGCCCTCGAAAATCGGAGGACGCAGAATCCACTTAGCCGTTACGGTCGGGCTAATGAGCCCTTGTGACGGACGTTGTCGCAAAACGTCACGTCACAGTATATATGTATATATTATATTTGTTATCTTATTTATATATTATATATTATATTTATTATATTTATTACCTTTGGGAAGCAACGCAAATTTTTTTACATTTTTCTCATTTTTATGGACAGTCTCCAAATGTCTCGCTAATTTAATTTGTAATTTTTTGCAATAAATGCAAAAATACTTTTTATTTCCTCCTTTATTTTGGGATTTATTTACAATAAGATTAGTATCGTCACACGTTTCTTTTTCTTCATAATTATGCTTTGACGTATCAAGACTACTGTAGTATTTGATTTTTCGTTTATATTCATACTTCGCGAAACAGTAGAACTAGATTCACTATCTGAATTTTCTGAATTTTCCGAGTTTTCGGAAATAGCATAATCTGGGTCATTATCCTTGCTGTTATCAATATTTTCTGAAATTAAAATGTATAATT